TTCCCACTTGGAACAACTGGTCTCCCCTGGCCAAATTTTACCATCCTTTGCAAAGCTGGTAGTATTGATGGAACTGACCTGTACCGCACGACAGGGCTGTTACCCGTGCTATGGTAGCAAAGTGTAAGTATAATGATTAAAGGATTTCCACACGGACAAGTCACAACTCAAGGAGATATATACATGTGCATGTACCAACCACTGATTCATCAAATGGATTTCATTGGGGTGGGGGTGGGGGGGGGGGGGGGGGGAGTGGGCGGGGAGTTGGGGAGGGGGGGTTGGCAGGGGGTTCTGAAATTCCTGGTTCTCTGTGCTTCTTCCTATTTCCTTCCTAGACGAACTATCTACGTCGTTCGTCTGCCAAGATGAACTTAGCAGATAGTTCATCTGGGTGGATAATCCATCTGTTTTCCCGTATTTTATACACAGACGGATTATCAACTACCAGACGGATAATCCATCTGGACGGTTTTCCGACTCTAGTATAAATTGAGCCATTATTTCCTGTAAACTTTTCTGTCTACCTTTCCCAGATAAGCCAAACAAGAGAGTTACTGGTGATCCAGACAGCACATTGTTTGTTGGGAAGCTAAGCAAGGAAAACTAGTGAAGGTTTGACTTCAAACATCTATTTGTAAAAAAAAATATGTACATGTAATAAATTTATTATTTTCCACTGCCTATTAAATGAATACACACTTACAGGGCCAGACAGCTTTTTCTGGACTCTCTTATATTAGTTTCAACCCAGCAGTATCAACCCATCTGGCGCAAGTTACTACGATTATCAGTTGAGTAAGACGCGGTGGAAGTTTGGTGACAAGGTTTACAGGTTAAAACTACATTGTTACCATGAGCAACTGACTTAGTTTCCAATGGTAACCTGTGTGTCGCTGACGCTGATGACGCTGATGGCAACAACGTAGTTTTACTGTGAAAACATTGTCACCAAACTTCCCGCGTGCCTTACTCAACTGATAATCGTAGTATTGCAAAATCTCTAAGCGTGTTGAGTCTCACACTTGCTGAAAACTTCAATCGCAGTCATGCTCGCTCACTTTATGGACCAATTTCAATTTGAGCTATACAGCCTTAAACTGACACTTTCAAAAATATGTAAACTCGATCCAATGCGGGAAAAGAAAAGTCCATGTAAATGACGGCACTTTCCCCAAATCCTCAGATTTTTTTGATGGGAAAAGCACTGGGGACGAGGTTGTGTTTGGGTTCAGGGCTATTTCTACTTCCGAAACTGTACTTCAGAATTATTATATCATGCCTTTGACTCAAAAATAGTTGGCAGGTAGATCCCTGATGAATGTTCTGGTAAACCATATGATGGTAATATTTATTATACTATTAGTCCCAACTGTCTCTTTTCTCATTTATCGTCTATGCTATGTTCTTCTGCAGCAACTCTGTATAAAGTATTTACAAAATGTGGAGAATTAACAAAGTGCAAGATTGTTAGAGATGTTGGTAAGTGGCTAGAAAACTACAAAATATCATAGTAAACTTCTCAAACTGTCAAGCAATTTGTTTTATAATAAGTGCAAAAATTTTAAGTATAAATTTAGAGACAATAATTTATTTCTAAAGCAACACACATGTAACCTGCAATCAGGCTAATTTTTTCATGCTCACGGAATATTAATTTTGCTAGTCCTGTTTACATTGCTGAAACCTTTTGGAGAGGAATATTTTCAGAATTATACTTGATTTGATTCTATGTTGCATTGATGTATAATGCTTTGTAAAGAATCATCATTGGTCCTTTCATGCCATGCGATACATGAGGCCTCTTAAGCTGAGTAGCAGGGTTAAAGAATGCAAGTTAACTATGAATACATTATTTAGCAGACATGATTATTTCAATATTGATGGACTACCAAATTCTCCTAACTACATGTAACATCTTAGATGTCTTTGAGTGCAGTCGACTCAACTTTTCTTTTTTTATAACACATCACTCAACAAACAATTATTATTATTGTAATAATATCTCCAACTGAACACTTTTAGTAACATACATGTACATGTAAGTGAACATACAGTGCAGTGCATGCATATTAAATTTTAGTAAATTTTACTTTACCTCTTTCTTTTTTAAGTGACAGGATTTTCGAAAGGCTATGCATTTGTAGAATATAGAAGTGACAGAGATGCTATTGCAGCCTGGAGGGTAAGGAAAATATCAGAATTCTCACCAGTTAGTAGATTATAAGGGTAAAGTCTTCACAAACCTAGTGGCCCACAACTGCCGGAGCTTATCCCGTTTCTGTAGCATGAAGCAACTAGAAGTATTGCTACTCCCCTGGATGGGATGCTAGTCCATCACAGGTTACCCCCTGTATTTTGTCGCCGGTGCCCATTAATACTCCTGGGTAAAGAGAGGCACTGTGAGAGTAAAGTGTCTTGCCCAAGAACACAACACAGTCACCCTGGCCAGGGCTCGAGCCCAGACCGCTTGGTCCGGAGTCCAGCATGCTAACCATTAGGCCACCTCGTCTCCCACTAGAATATAAGAATAATAAATATTCTAACATATAACTGGGATATCTAGGAGAGGAGCTCAGCCCCCACCAAACACCGCTGTTGAAAATCACATCTTCACCCCCCCCCCCCCCCCCCCCCCCTTCCCTGCCCCTCCTCAGCCCGATTCCCCTTTGAGCACATCTGGGTCTGTCACTGTAAATGGTGGTCACAATAGGACCTTACCCAACCATGATGGCGATGGCAAGGAGAACATCATAAAATAATGAGTATTTTATTAGTAGTACAATAGCTCTACATGTGCGTTATAATGATGTTTTCCATGGCTTTGCCATCGTTTTTGTGGTTGCTTAAGGTCCCTAATAATTATTGTGATCTCACCACTGTAGTATGTTTTGTTCATTTTTTTTTCAGGAAATACATAATGAAGAGATAGATGGCTGCACTATATTAGTAGAGTACGAGGCAGCAAGAGTTCTCAAGGGCTGGATTCCAAGACGACTGGGTAACATTATTATTACCATTATTATTATTTATGGAGTGGAGCTTAAAACACTCCTTCCTGATGCGATTACCTATAGTGCCTTGATGTACCACTGAATTCTCATAACTAACTGCATGACAAACTTGACTGCAAAGTGTTTTGTTATTATTGTAGGAGGTGGACTTGGAGGAAAAAAGAGTCTGGACAAACTAAGATTTGGAGGAAGGGATCGTCCTTTCAGGAGACCAATGTGAGAGGAATTTTGATGTCATATCATTCTGTTTTTTGTTTTGTTTTTTATCCCACAGGGGAAGGGGAGGGGTGGGGCATGGAAACCCGTGGGTAAAGGGGGCGGGAAGTCTACTGGAGATGGGAGAAGACCACACAGCGGTCAAACGCAGTTCAGAACCCTGTCCGCCGCAATCTCCAGCTGTGATTCATATCTAACTTTTATTTACCTGTATATAACAAATTCAAGTGGTCATAACATTTTATTTTTATTTTTCCTTAGCCCAGGCCAAACAAGGTGAAAACCAACACAAATATTTGCGAGGATCGCGAGACCACGAAGTTGGTCGTTTCGCACATGAGAATCCCCGTGATACTTACCGTGAACGGAAAAGCAAACAACGCCCGTGATAATTACACTCATCGCGAGCGTGAACGTGATCGTGATCGAGATGGATCTCGCGAGAAGCGTGAACGTGACAGGGAAAGTTCACGAAGCAGTTCTCACTACCGTGGACGCGAAGGCGATTCTGGAGGGAAAAAACATCGTGAGCGTGACAGTGAGAGATCGCGTGATCGTGGTGGAGAGCGTTACAAAGACCGTGAGCGTTACAGAGACAGCGAGGGATCCCGCAGCAAAGAGAGAGACATGGTCATCGAGATAAAAGAAGAGAGGACTTACGAGGCTAGTGACAAAAGAAAAGATTCATCTAGTTTTAAATATGAACCAGAAGAAGGGGAGGTATAATAGTCTTGCCGGTTAAATCGCTATAATTTTGACAGTTGTAGTTGAATCTAACGTCAAGAGTTACTGCAAGATGTAGCCTGCTGATTTCCGTGGAAGGGTAGCACAGGACCCATACTCTTGCTTTCAAGACGTGTAGTGCTGGACGGTATCTAAATGCTGCTAAATGGCACGAGAAAACAAGAACAGTCAAGACTGTTCGCAGCCGTTCACACAGTTTACAGACAAGAACCTATTGCCATGCAGCCCTTGCCTTGCCCCTCCCCCTATTTATTCCCCGAGCGGAGTGCCTGTTCGCAGGTTACTTTCAGTACCCCCTGGGATCTACCGCACCCCTTGGGGTTTTTTTATCGGAATCTCGTCTCCGAGAATGACTGAGCAGTGAGCCGGCAAGGCTGTTGCTAAAGCAACGTGATGTATCCTGATGGAGATAAACAGATGTGGTATTTCTGGTTGGACAGTATTGAGTAAAGCATTAGAAACATTAATGCTTGCAAGTATTTACAACTAAACCGAACGTTAACCAAACAGTGACATGACATCCAAGCATGACATCCATTTGCAAAACAAATAAACGTACGTTTCTTGGAAATCTGCGCATTTTTTGTCTCATTGAAACTGTTTTGCACTGTACACCAAAGTTTTCTTTTCTCTCCTCTTGTGAGAATGACTGATTACGTAAGGAAGTTAGAGGCAAGATCTGTGTACTTGTCCGGGGTGACGTTTTCAGTTTTAGAACCGAGAGTATAAGCGGTAAAAAAAACCCAGTCCGGTTGTTCAAACTAAGCTAATCCAGTATTAGAGTCAATTTATACTGTCAGTCATTTATACCGAATTTATCAATAATGGGCGCGCGCGCAAGAGCCTATAAACGGCGTATTTTTTCTCGCACGTGTCGCAACGTTTTCCGCCACTTGACGATCGTTCGTGCCATCAGGGAAGAAAATAAAAGAGGTACGCTAGTCAAATATCACGACTTCGTATAAAATAAAAAAATCCGTATTAAAAAATAGAAATTTTCCAAACCGAAAAGCAAAATTTAAGGCGCGCCCCGATATGGGACTTGAACCCATGGCCCTCAGATTAAAAGTCTGATGCTCTACCGACTGAGCTAACCGGGCTCGCTACGGGTAATATACTACAAGCCTACATATTTATTTTGGATATACTGCAGGTAGCGCCATTAATGTTAATGAGTGAAAGCTAAATAAAATAGTGTCTTTAATTTCGAACAGGATATATGGTAACTTACCAACATGGATCTGAACAGTGCTTTTCAGCAACGTTTCGAACGTTTACCTACTGGTTGGGGAGGAGGGGGTTGCCAGAACTTCACAACCTACTTGCTAGTGTTCCGGGGAGGGGAGGGGGTACGAGCGAATGTCGATCAGCTACGGCTAAAAGACAAGAAGTGATTAATTTCGTTCTTCAATTCAACTTTACATCATGTCTCATAAGGCTGCAACATTCTGTTTGCATGCCACCCTGTCCCTGGCTACAGCTCTTACAGTGCCCCAGTCGCTCCATCCTGACTGCTCACCTTATTTTAATATGTAGAGCAATACAGTTAAAACTCTCTACAACGGCCACCCGGGTAAAGGGTAAAGTGTATGCGATCGGCGCATGGTCGGGATGAAAAATCCTGACCATTAATTGTAGAGAGGTGGTCGTTATTACCATTATTTTTAGTCAGAATTTCAACTGTATCCTAACACTTTTGAGTTTTTTGATTCATTCAAGTCAAAACTACTAACAGTTTTATCGTCGTACCCACAATACCGCAATACTCGGGAAGAATTTAATATTGTCATGACCAATTTGTTCCAAGCAAATTGGCGCTTTTAACAGGGATTGCAGGGATTTCGTGTAAATTGTTCACATGGTTGTGACTGGCCCGGTTAGCTCAGTCGGTAGAGCATCAGACTTTTAATCTGAGGGTCATGGGTTCAAGTCCCATATCGGGCGATCTTTCAATTTTTGCTTTTACAGAATTTAGCAAATTAATTATATTATTATATTATTTCTATTCAAACCCGACTGAGCTTGAAAGATTGCATCAGTTGACTGGCGTGGCGCCCCGGATTCGTACTTTACCGCGTAAAAAGAAAAAATATAAATTTCCCAAATTTTTGTAGTTTCTCTGCAACAATCCGGCTTTAGTAAGGACAGTATTCACCATAAGTATAATATTTTATACTGCCGTGAAGGACCTGACGAAAGAAGTCTTGATTGGAAACCAAATTCTCTAAAGGAGACTTGTAAAGAATGTATGAAAAGAGTATGGAGAATTTTGGTACGCAGAGTGATTGTCGTACTTGCGTCCGACCTGGTGAAAAGTATACTGATAAGGCCACGTGTGGACACGCGATATGCTCGCCTAGTTAAAACCGTTGAAAACGTGGTCGAAATTGAAGAAAGAGTCTCTGCAACACCATAAAGCCAGGTTAAAATCTCACCTTTTTCATCGGGCATTTTTATCATAGCTTTTTATTGTAATTTTATCTTTTAATTGTAATTTTAATGGCTTTGTTATGCGCATTTGAACATTTTTATGGAATTTGCGCAATTATAAATGTTATTATTATTATTATTATTATTATTATTATTATTATTATTATTATTATTATTATTATTATTATTATTATTACAAGTGGAACCGGAATAAAAGCAATATATAATTCAATTGTCATAATGGAAAAATGGTAAATATGATACCACCTACTGCCCTTATTTTAGTTTTAGTGGGGTTTAGAAATTGCGAAAATCATGCAAATTTGTTAGTAAAATTGTTTGCGGGTATATTTTCCGCGATATTCGGATATCGGCCCTCAGTCTTTTCTGTATGGACCTCGTTGCACTCGATCTGTACTGTCACGATTCTCCCAGTACGGCTCTCGCGCTTGGTTAATAATAAGATCTATGTATTATCGTAGATACAAAACCAATTGACAGTGTTCTTTGTATAGCACAAACCAACAATTATGCACCCTCAGACAACAACCCTGAGTTTAAATTGTGTATATCAAAAACCCCAGTAATGCAATTTGTTTAAAAAAATTCATAGTCAGAGAAATATGTAAATAGCTCAGAATAGTGGATTCAAAAGCCTCATATGAGGTAAATGAGAGCTTACATGTACAGTTTATATCAATGAATCAATGGTTCACATGAAGCGACTCGGCAACTTACATGCGCCTATCAGTATCAGTGAATATGAATTATGGTGATGTCCAAAAATTCCTGGAACAAAAAATATACTAAAGAACACCAGTGATTAAGTCACTCAAATGTTAAACTCTGAAAATATGGTAGCAGTATTAGAAGGAACAGTAACTCGACACTGTTAAATTATCATGTTGTGACTAATTTATTTTTTAAATTACAAATTTTTCATTTTCCTTTCTCTTGAATTTAATGTCATTAGTTAGCACTGTCATTAAGTACCATGCTCTAAAACAAAATAAAGACAAAAGGAAATAAATATCGAACAAAAATAAATTTAAATCAAAATGTACATGATTTGAAAAATAAATTTGGAATATCCTGAATTTTAACAGGTCACGAATTGACATAAGAGTCAGACTGGTGTGAATCAGACCAAAAGTATGTATTTTCCAACAAAGGCTTGACTTTTCATACCATGCTCAATTACACATGCATGTACATGTATATTTATAAGGGGCAAAATACACTTTAAACAGCATGTGCTAACATTTAACATTTTAAACATTCAATTAAAATCACACTGTTTAGGATCAATGAAATCTAAATACAGCAGACAACCACCACATTTCAAAAATCTTTCTTCAAATATTTATTTGGTCCTTTTTTCTGGCCACAATTTTTTTTAGTGTCATGACTAACTGCAACACCATCAATCAAGTGTCACCCTCTGAATTAGTAAAACAAACAATTTTATATATTATAAATTATATTCAAACCAAATATCAATTTATTATTCTCCTGACATCACAAGTGTATTACAATGGCGTTGAAGTACAAATCTGAAGAGAAAACAAAGCAGAGAATGTAATTAACCATAGACCAGTATACTGGTACCCAGTATTAACCCACCTCAGAAGAGAACATAGAATTAATTATTATGCTCTAGATCAAGGATAATTAATGAAAGGGATTTTCAACTTTTAAATAGATAACTATTTACTATGCTTTATTCTTTTATATACAGTGGAACCCTGCCATACGACCACCCTGTTAATACGACCACCCCGTTATACTCCCATATGTAAGCTATATAATAGGGATGGATAAAAAACTACGTATATGGAAAAAATATATCAATGGTCTGTTAAAACTGATTGGAATTACTTGTTACTTTAAGCTTCCTAGTGTGTCCTTGGTTTAACATATGCCCAAATTTTAACCAATACTTCATGTATTAACATTATGATACTGTAACACGCCAATCAAAACATTATATATACATGTATAAAAAAATTGCAAGCTCCCTACGATTTATGCTCTTCATTCTCACCTGTAAAATCCACACTGTCTATAATCAAGTCTATTATATAAGACACTTCATGACCTCAATCTATGAAAAAAATTGAACCAGAAAAAAAATTATTAATACTACAATGTGCATGGGAAATTCCTTAGGCCCAGTTCAGATGCCGTACTTCACATGAGCCGAATCAAATTCAAATTTAGGCCGACCCAAATTAATTTAGATCAACTGAATTGATTCAGACGCCGAGCTTAATTCGGCCGAACTTAAATTAATAGGGGAAAATTGCTGTTATATTGAAAAATACATTATAATAATTTATGCATTTGTTTCGGCTCATGTGAAGTTCGGCGTCTGAATCAAAGCCGGTCCACAGCCGTTTTTCTCGGCTGAGCCAGGTGGAAAGAACGGCTGAGCCGATAAGAATTGATTCAGCCATTCCGAATTGATTCAGACGCCGTACCTCACATGAACTTAATTCATCGAATTCGATTTGGCTCATGTGAAGTACGGCGTCTGAACTGGGCCTTAGTATCCATAGCCTCCCAGTTTCATCCAAATAACCTGATTAAATGGACAGCTAGATTTCGACTTCCAACCTTCATTTTACTGAAAGCAGCGCTTATGAGAGCTTCTACTGTAGTGCAAATTCTTTTGTTCTCGACTCCATGTACAATCTAAATGTATACTGCTCCATCGTGTCTGTATTTTATTATTTAAAGGCAAGTTGTGTGAAGGGTTACAAAAAGTAAAAATTATATTTATGCTAACTATGGCTCATAAACTAGGCACATGCAAAAACGGAATCTTGGCTGGAGGAACTAACAACTAAAATAAAAGCAGCTAAAATAGTTGTCAAGCCAGGGCAAACCCAGCAACAAAACCCAGCTAAAAAATATCCAGCAACAAAAATACACAGAGTCAAAAATAATTTTGATCACAATGTGAGGCAAAAAAAAAGCTACAACTAGCATGACATTAAACAAATGGTCCTGCAAAAATAAACTTAAACAACTCCGAACTGACAAATTAAAATAATTTTGAATCCAGTGACAAAACGATTTAGAACGGTCAAGCGACACAAATAATATTGAACCCAGCTTGGGCGACACAGCTCCCAGCAACTCTGTACGATTGAGCAACTAATATAATTTTCAAGGCAGCATCACTGAGAGCAGACAAAAATACGACTGTCGTGTAATGCTATTGCATGCAGTTAGTTTCCTGAGTAAAACTAAATTTAATCATTTCCCACAGTATCTATCAAAACGAAATCAAACATCGTAGCCATAAGCTTATATAAGTTAAGGTAAATATATCGGATAAATAAATTAAAACAAACGCACTTGACTTGTTTTATTAAAGACGATTGTATTCGAGCTCATGCATGCATTGAGCGAGCGATTTATTATGACCTGAAAACGAAGCTACATGCACATGTAAATTCGAGATAGAGCGAAGCGATATTTTCGCGATCTCCATTTTATTATTTACACCTGTTTCTGAACTTAAGCTTACCTTAATGCTCCTTATGCAGATTCCCTCGAGTTTATAGCCTGTGTACATCCGCCTCCTCCCCTCAAAAAATGGCTCGATAACGAAAAATTGCTTACATGTAAACGGTAATGCGCGATAGACCGACGTTTTCACGTA